CCCCTTCTTAGTTTTTTCCTCAATGATTCCTTCTCTGCCTCCTCCCCTCTATTTTGTAGGGATGGTAGCAGACAGGGACAGTGTTCTTGTTCATTTGTTGCGTCTCTTCAGTCTTGAAGGTCTTTGCTGCTTGCCTGGTGTTTTCCTGTGAGCAGGGAAAGTTTTCTGAATCATGCTTCTGGGTTTCCAGTCATCCCCATCAGCTCTTAGGAGACAGGGAATAGTCTCAAAATGTGGAGGAACTTCTATCAAACAGGGACTTCTTTGTTGATTACTGTGTTTACCTAGTAACTACTTGCTTCTGGCATCTGTCCTGTTTATTAGGAGTAATTAAGCAAGACAGGGTGAGAGACCAGATTGTTGGCTTTGTCAGCTTTCTTTAAAAGGAATTGATTTTTATCAAATGTGCATCTTTGCCATTTTAGCAAGAGCTTTCAACTTTCAACAAGATCACCCATGTTATATTTATTTGCATAGCATCTTTCTCTGAAGAACACACAACACACTGTATACTCATGCAAAATACTTGAGCAAGTATTAGAAGGCAAATGAGGCAGGCAGCTGGTTTGTCGGGCACAGATGTGTTAGTAAGCCAGAGTATGTGAGAGTTTTAGATACTCCTTCATAGGTTGCCTTAAGCCTGCCCAGAATTCAATGTGTAGACAGAGCTCATGGGCAGTGCCATTCATGTTGGACTCCTGGGAGCTTTAAATGTGAATTTCCCCATGGAAATGTAGCTTTCCACTTCTCACATAATTGCGGTAAAAAACATTACTAAAGAAACTTCTCTCGCCTGTGTCTTTTTCACTCCTAGTTGGAAGGAAATCTTTCCCTTTCAAGAATGAAGTGACCTTCAATCAAAATATCAGGCTTAGGATTTACAGATTTTGTTTATTATGGTGTGAAAACACTTGTCCATAGAGCATTTAACTTTCAGAGTAAGTGTATACAAATCAATATATCAGTCTCTGTTCATTATGTAAAGCTATTTGTATCTGAGGACAATACCATTTCCTAATATGGCTTGCTGTGATGTATGCTTAAAGAAACTTGTCCAATTATTTCTTTTAATTGGGGACAGTTTGTAGTGAACTTCTATACATTGATGCCTTTCTGTCTCATGCTCATAGAATGTGAAGTGTTGTTTTTTTTAAACCTCCCTTTCCCTTCTATCCCTTTCTTTTGAAAATCTTACAAATTAAGACAAAAGATAATTACTTGGAGGAATAAAACTGGCAGGTTCCCACGACACTTAAAATTAATGAGCTGTCAAGCACAAACTATACCTTGTCCTTTGCTTCGTCTTTTCCCAATCATTCCCTCCCCTTTTCTCTCCATTTAACACACGATGTGACTTTTTGGTTGTGTTTGCTGTTCGGGTATATTGCTCTATAAAATAGCGGGATCATTACAGCAAGATTCATTTGAAAAGCATCTTTTGTTTGCAAATCACAGTTTGTTTCATTCCTCTTTCCTGGGACATCTTATTAAAATACTCCTTAGCAGGCACACTGCTGCAATTTGCAGAGCAGCTGCTTTGTTCAACTGCATTGATGGCACTGGCCTCCCTCACCACCCGCTGCAGCCAGTATTGCACAGCTCAGCTCTGGTTCCAGGTCTTTGCTTTCCAGCCTTTTCCTGGGAAGGAGGATTAGTAGTTGAAAGTCCTCCAAGTCTATTCCATTGGAACCAGAGGGTTGTGCCTTTCCCTTTCAGATACAGGCAGTGCTGGTGAAGGATCTTCCTTTTTTAGGTCAGGGGGACATGCAGTCCACAGGTTAGAACTGGTTGCTGGCATGATTCCTTTGCAAAAGAGTGTTATATTCCTAGTTTAGGTTTTGTGCCACGAACAGTTAACTTATTTCTCCAAACTCATTTTCTCCCTGAATTGTCACTGCAGTAGGAACTAAGGAATCCTGTCACTCCCTGTTTACAGGAGAAGATGAAGGCCTGGATGTGTGACATGCTAGGCAGTTTTGATACTAGGGGCAAATTGAGTAGCATCTGGGGACAAGGGGTAGCTGTGTTAAGTTTCATCCAGATCCTGTGGAAGGTATACTGGGATGGGGGGTAGAGGGTACTTGGAAAATGTGGCCTACTTAATGAACCCCAGTGGTCACAGGTTCTGATGGGTCTTGCTCAGGCCAACTGCCCTCTACCTGCAATTAAAGATAGGAGGCTAGAGCACTCCTCCTGGTCAGGATATGGTGATGCAGTTTCCTGAGATAGTCCCTTTAACTCTTCAGTAGCTGTCTGCAGGAACATCTGTTATCCTCGGTCTACAAATGAGAAAACCTAGGATCAAGTCGCTTACCCAGTAATAAATATCAGAGCCAAGAATTGCACTTCAAATACTACTACTATTCTATGATAAATCGAGAGAATATCTTTGCTTCACTGTCTTTTAAACTAAAACAGATAGCTATAAAACTAGTCCTTAAAAGCAAGGTATACTGTGAATTGTTTGGAAATAAATAAGAAAGCAGTTCAGGGTATTGGAGCTACCTCCTGTGTTGTGAATAAAGGAGCTGTGTTCTTTGCTTTACGAAATTAGTAAACAGTCAAGAGTTGCCTGGATTCATGTACCTTCGTGATTTTTGGTCACATTTAAGTATGCCTACTCCTAAGTATGCTCTTCATTTGTTTCAGGCAGGCACCGGCTGCAAATGTGGGAGTGTGATGGATGGTTTCTGACAGTGGCTAGTTACTTACACTTGGAGGCAGTGCAACCATTCTAGCTGCTCCATTGCCCCCACATCTAGTAGAGAAGAAATGAGACACCATCTTTATTTCAGTATCTAAAATTTGTTTTAAATATATAATTGCTGGTCCTGGAAGAACCCTTGAGATTGCTGCTCACAGTTAATCCAGATAGGGAAGATGTGCTATGCAAAAGAAGATTTACCTTTAAGCAATTAAATGAGGAAAATGGCTTAGAAGAAAATTCAGATTACTGTAATTTTGAAAATATCGTGTTCTAAGGAGAGCTGTTTGTGAGAACATGACTTCAGTTAATAGTGCTGAATTCTGTACCCATAGAAAGAAGATCCAAAGGGAATGTTCTCACAAAGACAGTACATATGTTGGGGGATATTGAACATGTTCATTAGCCTAACCTAACATTTTATAGATCTGTGTATCTTATCATGTAATACCATAAACATAATGTTTATGTTATATGAGGAGGGAAAAAATAGAGGGTTGAGATGAAGCAATCTCCAATATTTGTGGGAGGGAGAGCTTTCTAAACATGAAGGCAAAGAAACTCAACATTTTAAAAGCAAAGTTAGCACATATGCTTTTAAGGTGGGCATCTGAGTTTGAGGTCAGCCTATATCAATGTTATTCTAAAAGAAACAGAAATGGTACCTGGAAAAGTAACATTGTTATTTCCTAGGTTTACAAGGGGACTGTGTTGTGGAAAACCCCCATGTAAACAAAATGTTATTATTAGGAAAAAAGTACACTGGCTGCACCTGACCTACTGACCATAGGAGCTTAACATCAATATCCCTTAGTGCTGAAATGCTGGCAGATTGCTAGGATGATCATCACTCCCAGCATCACCAGACAAGACTGGATAGTACATCACTAACCTAGGAAAGACCCAAATTCAATATTCAAAGTGCATTTGCTACTGTGAATACAACTTGCTTTTTATAGTACCATAAAATCAGTTAAGGTAAGTGAAGCCACTAATGTCAGAGACGATGTCACATTCCAAGACCAAGACCAGCCAAAGATAACAAGAACCCCTGAATGAAATTTAAAGGCACACACACGCTTAGAGACTACCGTGCAGCTGGATGGGTAAGGGATGCAGTGGCTTTTATGACCTCTCAATGAATTGAATAGGGGGTGAGCTGAAGTCCTAAGCCAGGCCTGTTCACTACTAAATCCAGAGCCAGCAACCGATATTAAAGACTACTAGGATTGTTTCCTGCTTAGAATTACCTGATTTAAGTTATTAGTTATCTATCCTCTTAGTAGTCATTTTGGACATAAAAATATGTAACCTAATATGCTTCCAACTATCAGGTAAAATCTTTAGAATCATTAATCTGCTTCCTGCACTCCAAAAGCTAAGAATGTTATGAGCTAGCCCTTGGATTCTAGAGATGTCTTTTTTGCTTTGTTGTAAAATGTAAAACGTCATCAGCAATGTGCTGGTAGGACTCTTTTTCTTACTGTATAGCTAGCCCCGGGTGGCTTGGGAGATCACTATGTAAACCAGGCTGGTCTTGAACTCAGAGATCTACCTTCCTCTGCCTCCCACGTGCTGGAACTGAAAGGTACAACCCCCACCTCGGACTGTCTTTTGTTTTGTAATTAAGGTCGTTGTAACAGGTTTGTACCAGTAGAGGGTCTCCTGTAGTAAAGACCCCATCAAGGAGCTAAACACACAGTAGCTAGCTCTTCCTCCACCAGTCGCTCACACTGCCAAAACACAAGCACCCCTCCTGCCCACCTGGAGGAGAACCCCATTTTTCATACAGACAGCTAGAGTGGTGAGCCTCCAATGCTTGCTGTCACCTGCACAAGAAAGAACACTTTAAATGACTTCTACCTTCTAGGTTGTCCCTGGAACTGGATGTGTGGACTAGGTTGGCCTCAAACTCAGATGCCCACCTGTAGTGGTATTTGCTCCACCTTGAGTTTAAGGCTCAAAGGAGGCGGTACTTCCAGCTGTTGTACATGACCTCTGCCCCTTTTCTCCCTGCTCCTGCCTGTGAGGTGGATTCACTGCTTCTGCTTCTTCTCCAGTCTGTAACCATGAATGTATTTCCTCAATTTATATCTTAGTAAATTCTGTTACCCACTTGATTCATTCACCCGCCTTAAAAGTGTATGTGCTAACTTTGCTTTTAAAATGTTGAGTTTTTAATCAGCTTCATTTCCTTTCAAATTCTCTTTGGGTGTTGGCCATTTCTCTGGAGAAGGCTTGACTACTTAAACCATGGATGGTTTCTCCACTCACTTTCCCTCTTTTCCTTTTCTAGTCTTCAATGGCTCCAACAGGTCAACACGGGAGAAAGAACCCGCTCAAAAACACAAAAGCAAAGAGACCACTCCAGCAAAGGAGAAGCACATCGACCACAGGGCAGATAGCCGAAGGGAGCCGGCTTCAGTGGCCCAGCCCACAGCCACCCCCTCTGCAGGCTCCTTGGCCAAGGGGCTTCCTGCCAACCACCAACCTCCCCCTCCGCATCGGTCGGCTCAGGACTTACGGAAACAGGTAACCCTCCATGTGAGTAGCTTTCTCGTGTGCCAGAGAATGCCCAGTTCACCCATCAAAGTGAAATCAGGCAAAAGAGGCTAGAAAAGTAGGACTTGTCACACAAGTGGGACAGGGATAGTTTCCAGATAGGATTTCCCCTTTCCTCCTGCACACCTTGAACTCACACACTATGATTGATACATAGTAGGATATTGGCGTTCGTGGGGAGTAGAGACACGTAGCATGTATTCTTAATATTCCCTTTATACAAGTGCTCCACCAGCTACAGAGTGTGGGAACACCCACCATCTTCCTCATTTTCATTTGAGAACCATGAGTTGGGTGTTCAACTAAGCCTATAGATGGCACAAGCTTGTCTGGAATAATTGTGGTCTATTTTCTGGTTTGCTTTTGTTTTAATTTTTGTTATTAGGATTTCCATTTAGTACATTTAAGTATTGGTATTTGTATGCTGGTGTGCAGAACAGCTTTCCTGTGGAGGTGAGAGGACAGCATTTGGTAGTTGATTCTCTCCATATGTGTCTGAGGGATTGAGCTCAGGTCATCAGGCTTGGATGCCAGCACCTTTACCTGTTGAGCCACCTCTCCGGCTCTCTTGTTCTCTGCCAGGGCTTGCAGTAGCTGTCCTGAGTAGGCAGGCACACAGCTGAACCACCTAAATAGGATGAGTGTGTTTGGCTGTCAAGGGTCTATAGTAAGCAGTATACTGTGCCCCCCTCCCCCAAATAACAAAATTCCCTTGGGGTAACTCTTAAGATCTGTAGGATAGACCATTGCTGTTATATGGAAATTTTCCTGTCCATATTTTTTTTCAAAGCTCTGGGAGGCAGGGAGTATGATTATACACGCAGATCCATTGAGGCACTTAGGAAGAGCTGGGCTAGCTGATAACAAACCATCCACCCTTCATGTTTCTGACCATGGTAGGGTTGATAAGTCCTAGGGGACCACAGACCATTGATGTAAGCCTTTCCTAGGAATCTTGGCAGAATTGCAATTTCTCCAGGACTATGATTTCTGAAGATGGGTTCATAGGTTAGTAAGGAGACAGGACAAAAGAGATTTCCTTACAGGCAGTATTCCAAAATGTGGTCTTAGTAACTAGTTCAGAGTTTTTGTTCATGAATGTGAATGAGTATATTCATTTATAGAGCTGCATAGGTTTATACAAGTAAGAGCACGTGCGAGCACATAATGCACACGTACACGCACATGCACAGCATTTTGTCTTGATTTTTACTTTTCAAGCTTTTAGGTTTTCATTTGAGGTGGTGAAGTCACACATGGTCGCCATTTACGTCTCTGTTTTATAGAGACCCCATTCTTCTAAGTCAGTGGTTCTCAACCTGTGAGTTGTGACCCTATTTGGAGTCATCTATCAAATATCCTATATATCAGATATCTATGATTCATATCATTTGCAAAATTACAGTTATGAAATAAAAACAAATTTTATGATTGGGGGCCACCACAACATGAAGAGCCATTGTCTTTTGAGAGAAGCAAGTAATTTTAGCATGTCAGTGCTAAAATTTTCGTTTCTGAAACAAAGATGTCATCTTTTCCCAGAGAATGGCCACTGAGTGATTATGGAATTGCTCTCTGTCGGTAGCTGGGGCTGCCTCCCAAATGCTGGACCCTGATTTTTCAGTTCCCTAAGGCACAAAGCACAGGGTGGGTTTGCAGCTTTAGTTTGTGTCGGTGTTCACCATCTCCATCCATCCCACTACTGTTGATTTGACTGGTGCGGAGCTGAGCTGAGTTCCAGATGTTTCTGCTTATGAAACACCATGAAAAAAGGACTTAGAGACAGATATGGCTGAAGCCTATCTATTTCCCGGGACAGGCTGGGGTTTTATGCATCTTCTGGACATCTCTGCACCCATCCTTTTTTCCATCTGAGTGTACTCCTCAAGTTGAACACTATTTAGTCCAGATGAGCTGAGATTAGATGGGGACTGACTACATGTAGACCAGATATGCTTTCTTTTGAAGCGGGCACGTGATGTATTATTTCCTTGTCTGCCCGTGGTGGAATTTTTACACTAATACATAAAACAGGTCATCTTCTTAAAAATTTAATATTTAATTTTATGTGAATTTGTGTTTTACTTGCATATAAGTCTGTGTGAGTGTGTCGGACTCTATGGAACTGCAGGTACAGACAGTTGTGAGCTGCCATGTGGGTGCTGGGAATTGAACCCAGGTCCTCTGGAAGAGTAGCAAGTAGTCTTAACCACTGAGCCATCTCTCCAGTCCCCAACACAGGTCATATTAAAACTAGCTGTGTTGAGTCACATCTCCAAATTATCTGACTCTGTCCCAAAGATTCACGAGGCTTGCATTTAATCAAGTGATACATGGCTTGCATTCACCTAGGATCTTTGCCACTCAGTCAAAGCTCTTCTGTGGCACTCCATAAGTTAGCATAATTAGTCTAGGTGGGTAGAAGCTTGGAGGAGAAGAAAGAACAAGTACCTTTTGGTTGTCTTTGCTCACTGTTCCATGTTGGGCACATACTACCTGATCCACATATGGTCTAGAATGTTGAAGGAAGGCTTTCTTAGTGAATGGTCTGTTGCTGGGACAATAGACACCATGTATCTCTTCTCTTATAAAAGAAAGCATTTAATTGGGGGCTTGCTTATAGCTTCAGAGGTTTAGTCCATCATCATCACGGCAGGGAGCATGGTGGCTGACAGGCAGGCAGGCACTTGGTGCTGGGGACTTAACTGAGAGCCGTATCCTGTTCCTCTGGCAGCCAGAAGATAGAATGGCACTGGGCCTGCTCTGGGCTTTTGATACTTCACAACCCACCCCATTGACACACCTACTCCAACAAAGTCACACCTCCTAATCCTCAAAAGGCTACCAATTGGGAATAAAACATTCACATGGGTATGAGCCTGTGGGGCCATTTTCAGTCAGACCACCACAGAGGCCACAGTAAAGTGAGCTGCTGGAACTTGAGTGCTGCCAGTCTTGGCTTTTCTTGGTTTGGACCCTGCAGATATGGGGGAGTCTTTCCTACCTCCAGAGTCAGTCAGATGTAATTACATAGGCCTTCAAGTTCTAACTTTCTTATGACCCTGATCTCTACTGTGCCTTTGAGATGTGATCTTTGCTTTCCTGGTGCTTAATGGTTGATCATCAGATCTTGTTAGTTGAGTGCTCTGAAAATGTGGTAATAAAAAAGCAAATTGTAGATCCCTTTATAATTGCTCAATATAAATTACTAGACTCAAATGCCTGAAGGATACTCTGACCTCTAACTTTAGATTTGAATGTAGGAAATGTGTGTGGGTGGGCTGTGATTTACAAGGGGTGCTGCTGGCAGCAGCTTTGTTCTCTTGTTCTCATGGGTCCTGGGACGGACACTGTTCTAAGCACTCTCCTTGTACTAAGGGGTAATGGCAGATGGTGTAGTGTTTGGGCTTCAAGGCCCTGGATCCTGACATTACCATACATACATGAACATGAACTTCTCTTTTGCATTTTACTTAGAATGCAGAGTCTGTAGCCTCAACTCCACTCTAATCTCTAGAACTGGCTGAGTTTGTGGTATATGTTTAGCATCTGTTATTCTGAAATAAGGCTTCCATTTAAACACAGTAACAGATGCCAGCTGTTGTGAGATTACCAAATTAATTATTGGGGCTATCAGGAGAGAGATTTATTTTTTTTTTATTTTTTTTTAATTTTGAGATGGGGTCTCACTGCATAGCTCAAACTATCCTTGAAAGTGTGACAAGCCTCCTGACTCAGCCCTCTGAATGCTGACATGACCTGGCTCCTTAGAAAGGGTTTTGAAACACTAGCTTTCCAAGAGAGTCAGTGAAGTTCCTTGTTGTATGTGGTCAATAGTCTGGGATATGAATTACTGGGCCATACCAAATAAGTTTTACTCTGAGGTTAATCTGTAATATTGACAAGGATGTTACAGGTCTTCTTGGGCAGCCACCAGACACTTTTGGAAGGATATATGACATGCTTAGTCACAAGAAGCCTCTTGTGTAAGTGTATAGAAGTGAAATGACCTTGTCCCATAAGATCCATAGAGGCCAAAGGATTCAGAACCTAAATTTAGTAAAATTAGGAAAATCAAAGGAATAAGCTCTACAGAATGAAATCATAGTGTCTTAGTTAGGGTTTCTATTCCTGTGAAGAGACACCATGTTGACGGCAACTCCATTTGACTGGGCTGGCTTACAAGTCATTGGGTTAGTCCGTGGCGGAAAGCATGGTGGTAGTCAGGCAGGCATGGTGCTGAGAGATCCTGCAGGTAGCAGGAAGACAGAATGAGTCACTGAGCCTGGCTTGAAACCTCAAAGCTCATCCTCTGTGACGACACTTCCTCCAACAAGGCCTCATCTCCTCTACACACCTCCAATAACGCCACTTCAAGAGTTTTTGTGGGCAGTTCTTATTCGGCCTCTGTGGGTGCTGCAAGGAGGTTTTGCTGGCTCTGCTTCTCCTGAGGCCGTGTGCACTGTTTTTAGCTTCTGTTTCCATGTCGCCTGTGTTGTCGGATCTGTCTGCAGACCCGGGTCTTCCTGCTTCTCCTTTCTGAAGTAGCTCTGCAGTTTTAATCACCCCACTTCCATCTGGGCTCCTGGTCAAGCTCACTCGATCCCTCTGGTGGGGAATAAGTAAGAGTGACGATAATGGCCCTGGGTAAACAAGGACTGTATTTTAATAATCTTGGTCCACCACAACAGTTTTAGGTAGTCATTCCCAAGCATCTATTTTCTCTTCTGCCTTGTAAGTACAAGTCCTTCCTGTTTATTTAAGGACTGGGTAGCGATGGGATGGGGATCCCTGTTAGTTTAAAAAAAAAAAAAAAAAACACTAGACGAGGAATACTTAAAATCCTGGGTTTTTATCTCCTTCAATTTTTCTTCCTTTTTATATTTCTGGAGATGCTGCAAGTACTAGGTCAGTTAGATATTACTTGATAGCGCCTTAGCTGCTTGTTAAATCAGTGGAGAAAAGGCCCAAAATAACCCTTATGCAAATACTTTCTGGCTCTCTGTGGTCTCAGAAGATAGAGGTGACAGGTGGGTGACTGTGAGCCTAGAAGAAGTCACAGACGCCAGAGCTGGGTTAGGAATGGCACGTTATTTCCAGAATCTCCACCAGAACCCAAGTGTAGAAAGTGTAGAAAGGTTTTCATTTTTATGTTGTACATTGTAGGAACCAGCAAATTGGGGCACATTCCCTTGCATGTGCACTACCTTAGGGTCTGCAGCTGTGACTTGTGGTTTTTCTTGCCACATGTTATTTACATGACGAAGGTAGTCTGTTGACCTGAAAGCCAACTGTACTGTAGTGATCTGAGGCTGGGAGAGCATCACTTGTATTGTAGCACCTCATTTCTTTTTCTTCCTCCCTCCCTCCCTTCCTCCCCCCCCTCCCCTCCCCTCCCCTCCCCTCCCTTCCTTTGGTGGTATGATTAAATGTTGGTTTCTGAACAGTGAGCATGTGCTGTAAAGGAGGTGTCTTTGTGTTCAGTTGATTGGTTCCAAGCCTTTTCAGTAGAAGGGACCATTTCAACTTGTCAAATTTTATGTATAACAAGCTTGTGGGATGGCGTGGTTGCTCATTTAGCTTGCTAGCTGTGTTGTGGCCATCACTGGAAAACTTTCCTATGAGGGGACAGGGTTACAGTTGAGGACTCTTGATAAAGTTTACTTCTTTCTATACATTAGAATTCATTGTTCTGGTCAAGGAGACAGACATAGCTTAGTCTTTTCTTGACAGGAAAGCATTGTATTTGAGTGGATTATACTTAAGATAACTTAAAAAAAGCAAGTGAAGCAGATTTGCATCAAGATATACCTTGCCAATCCTCTAGTGGTTCATTTTGCTAACATCCCTCAAGAGTGTGGTGTTTTGCGATGGAAGATAGTGATACAGAATTGTAGCACATTGATTGTTGACGTCATCTGGCAAGGAGCCCAGGTGCCTCTAGAAGCCAGAGGGTTAGTCCTAAGGACTGATCTTCACCCTGATGTGCTGTGGACCACAAGGAACTTTGGTTTCATGTCACTCCCTCTGATAGGGTTGGGGACAGGCTGGGTTAGAGGGCTTGCAGGGACGTTGCACCATCTAGGTCTTTTGCATATGGATTTTTGTGTGTGTATGTCCTTAAGGATTCAGTGTGTGCCTGGTGGCTGTGGAAGCTGTATTCATCATTAAAGGTGATCACACTGATCTAGGGGAGTTTTCAGGGTTTACAAGCTAGAGAAACACTGACTCGATGCCAGTATATATCTGGAGCTGGACTTTTGACAGAAAGCCTCCCATCTTCAGGAAGAGAGTAGCCATATTGGATTGCTTGTGTAAGGGTGAACTGGGCCTAGGGCTGCGACAGGGGATATCAAAGCCCGTAGCATGTATTCCTCTACCATCTCCATTGCATATAGCACCATTCCAGAGATCTTCCTTGCCCACCATCTGTATCTAACTACCTATCTCTTGGTGTCCTTGCTGGAGATATAAATCAACTAAATATAGCATTTAATACTTACTAATTGTCTTAATGGTTTTCTTCATTTGGGAGTTTAATCAGTAGGTTCATTTGATAGAACCAAGGTATACTAAAGAGAGGTATTTCCTTACTACTTTCTTCATGTTACTAGAACCTTGTCGAGCTCATCCCTGGTTTTCATGTCTGTCTGTGTCTCTGTGTTGTGTATAGGCTAGAGGACAAACCCAAGCTGCCTCCCCCAAGCTGCCTCTCGAGCTGTCTATCTTGTTATCTGAAACAGGGTATTTGGCTGATTCTAGGCTCACAGATTCACCTCTAGGGTGACTGGCCAGCAAGACCCTGGGATCTGTCTGTCTCTGCCTCCCCTGTACCGGGGATTAAAGTGTGTGTTACCATGCTTAGCTGTTTTCATGTATGCTGGAGAATTGAACTCAGTGCTTCATGCCTACATTGCAATCATTTATCAACTGAACTATCTTTCAGTCTTGTATTTTTGCATCTAATTCATTGGTGTCACACTGCCTCCCTCTCTTCTAAACTCATAACCAGTTTCCCACTTTATTCTAGAGCCCCTCTGTCAGTCATACTTACTTACAGGGTGGGTAGTGGGCTACTGTCCAGAATGTGCTGTTCATGGTGCTGCACACCTTTAATCTCAGCACTCTTGAGGCAATTCTGGTTCCCATAGTGGTTTTCTAGTCCAGTGGTAGCTATACAGTGATACCAAAATCCCACAATTCAGTTCTGAAGCCTCCCACATTTTGTCTCTCTCTAGAGGGCATGTGCTATCTCCCAAAGCTAGGGGAGCTCCATGACCAAGTATGAGTAGGCTCATAAGCCATGTCACATCAAGGATTTTTTTTTTATTGGACCACAGATAATTTTTGGCATTCATAGAAAACATCTCTATGTTGTGCGCCCCCCCCCCTCCAAACAACAACAACAAACTTGACCAAGACCTTGTTCAGCAGTTTTTCAGAGTGTGGTCCATAATAGACAGCCACAAAGCACCCCCAAATGTCTGGTTGGAATTCCAAAATCCATGGGCCTCATACCCACTGGAGGGGCTTTAGAGACTTTTGGGGGGGTAGGGCAGTGATCTATTTGGATAAATCAAGAACCTTTGCTTTCCATTACTGATTTGGATGTCTATCAGTTGTTCTATTTTCTTTATTCCACCAAAAGTTAACCATACTTGTTCCTAGGTTAGCCCTGGCTTATTACCCAGATCTCTTGTGGTGAGAGCAGGTTGGTCATGATCCAGCCTCATGGTGGTTCTTTAAGCTACCATTGGTGGCCTTGGCCTGACTACCTCACAAGCAAGCCAGGCTCCCCAGTTCAGCATTCTTCTGGAAAGAGGTCTGTGCTTTTTGTGATTGTGTTAGTTTTAGGCTCATTTGGAGGTCGTGGCAACAGCTCTAATATCCTGTGGTCCTTTTAAAATTCATGTTGTAGATGAAAGGAAAGGAGACACCCATGAGACTAAATGTCATGCCAAACCCACAGCTGTGCTATTTAAAGCCACCTACCCTGTAACTGATGAATCCGGTGCTTCAGTGTTCTTGTAGGCCTCTGGGATATGCTAGAACCATACTATTCCATTCTGTTTGAACGACTTGCCCCTTTTGTTTCACATAATTTTCCTTGGTTTTATTAGCTGGTATATGAACGACCAGTCTAGGATGTCTGCCTCTATTTACCCAGTCAACAGAAATCCAAATGGGGCTTACAAGGGGTGATAAAATAGGGACCATATGTGCAGAACGGGGGAGGGGTTAGGCTCGTCTGTCCTGCATCTAGTAAGACTGTCCATGTGTGGTAAGTCTCAGAGACAGTAAGAGATTGAGATGAGATGGCAGGTAGCTGCTGAGAGTTTGCAGCCATGCCTATGGGCTTGGCCTGTGATTTGGAGCCAAGGCATTTGGGTCCTGGTGTTTTCCTTCCATAGTATATGATTTTTGTTTTCGTTTTTTTCCAGTATCATAATTGGGTTTCATATTTTGTGTGTTGGCTACACAGTTATGTGAATCACACAAAGGATAGCAAACAGCCGTGTTTGGAACAGATATTTATGTAAAAAACTATTTTATATAGTTTTAGAAACTATTGATTACTTTTCTCAAATGAACAGGATCTTGCTATTACGGATTACAAGAAACTCGGCATAGGTTAGTTCTTGTATGGGGTATTCACTATGGACCCCAAGGTTTTCTGAAAGAGTCTCATGCAAAGAAGTGCTCGTATACAGACACATCCACGAATGCAGCAGGCCAGCCGACACAGTCTGGGGTAAGATGCTAGCTGTGTTGAGAAGATCCTCCTGCTAGTGTCACAGACTAATCCATGATGGGTTTTCTCCCTTGGTTGTCTGCTGTCCCCACTCTCTTCTGAGCCAAGTCTGTCACCGGCAACTGCAGTAGTCCTTTCTTACTGAGTCTGCCTGGGAACTCATTAATTCTTTCTCTTGTCCCTGCTTCTGCTGCCTCTGTAGGTGTCTAAGGTAAATGGAGTCACTCGAATGTCATCTCTGGGTGCAGGTACAACCAGTGCCAAAAAGATCCGAGAAGTCAGACCTTCACCATCCAAAACTGTGAAGTACACTGCCACAGTGACCAAGGGGACTGTCACATACACCAAAGCCAAGAGAGAACTGGTCAAGGAAACCAAACCCACCCACCACAAGCCCAGTTCAGCTGTCAACCATACAATCTCAGGGAAAACTGAAAGTAGCAATGCAAAAACCCGCAAACAGGTGCTATCCCTCGGGGGGGCGTCCACGTCCACCGGGCCCGCTGCCAGTGGCCTCAAGGCCAGCAGCAGGTTGAACCCAAAGTCATGCACTAAGGAGGTGGGGGGGCGGCAGCTGAGGGAGGGGCTGCGGAATTCCAAGAGGAGACTGGAAGAGGCACAGCAGGTGGATAAGCCGCAGTCACCCCCCAAGAAGATGAAAGGGGCAGCAGGCATTGCCGAAGCCCCTGGCAAAAAGGCCTCAGCGGCTTCAGCAGAGAAGTCTCTGCTGAATGGACACGTGAAGAAAGAAGTGCCCGAGCGAAGTTTGGAAAGGAATCGGCCGAAGCGGGCCACGGCTGGTAAGAACATGCCGGGCAAACAAGCACATGGCAAGGCAGAGGGCACCCCCTGTGAAAATCGTTCTACCTCGCAACCCGAGTCCTCGCACAAGCCGCATGATCCGCAGGGCAAGCCAGAGAAGGGGATCGGCAAGTCTGGGTGGACAGCGATGGACGAGATCCCTGTCCTCAGGCCCTCCGCCAAGGAATTCCATGACCCTCTCATCTACATTGAGTCAGTACGTGCTCAGGTGGAGAAGTACGGGATGTGTCGTGTGATTCCCCCTCCGGACTGGCGGCCAGAGTGCAAGCTCAACGATGAGATGCGCTTTGTCACGCAGATCCAGCACATCCATAAGCTGGGCCGGCGCTGGGGCCCCAATGTACAGCGGCTAGCCTGCATAAAAAAGCACCTCAGATCTCAGGGCATCACTATGGATGAACTCCCCCTCATAGGTAAGGCATGGGGTTGAGTGGCTCCCCCTAGCATGGGAGTAGGTGGACTTGTGAACCCATTGTCTTGCTCTAGTGGAACCCCTCTTCCCCTGGTCCTAGCTGCTTTCTGTAAGAAGTTTGGAATTGGTGGCCCATAGACCAGGGGGCTTCCTCTTGGTGCTAGATCCTAGGCCCCCTGCTGGGCTGTCTTTTACTGCTGGCATTGAGGAGTGTCCAGGGATGGCCTGAGGACTTCAGGCTGCTGCAACAAAGGGCCATGGACCGGTGCCTTCAAAACCAGAACTGTTTTCTAATTCTGCGTGCTGGCAGGGTTGGTTTCTGCCAGTGTCTTTCTGCGGCTTGTAGTGGGCCACCTGCACCTTACGTCTTCTCAGTGTTTCCTGTCTCTGTCTGAATATCTCCTTAAATATCTTCCATGAGGAGGTGGGAAGTCCTGCCTGGGTGACCTTATTTTAACAATACCATTACATTGTGGGGCTTCAGGGTTTTGTACTTTAATATGCCAACTTGGGTGGCCTTATAATGCAACCTACAACCCTCTTGTAAACTCCATGCCATTTTTGCATCCCTCTTATCTTCATCTGTCTATCTCCTCTACTCCCCCCCCCCCCTTTTTTTTTTCCTTCAGTTTCTTTGGTGAGCGAAATGGACCTTCTCTCAACATAAGGGACTGTCTTCCATTTCTTTGGAGGGCTGGTTTAGTTTGGCTAGCACTGGAGAGGTCACCCCAAGAACTGCTGCTGTGGGTGCATGTCTTGGAAAGCTGAATGTCTTTCCTGCAGCAGGGTACAGGGTAGGCATGCCTCCTTTTGCCTTCTGTCCCCCCATGTGACTCCTCCCCCTCTGTTGGTCCTGGTACTCCAGGATGGACTTCTCCAGTGAAGGCCAAGTGACTTGTACTAAGGGGCCAGTCCTTCAAGGCAGATAGCAGCGCTGCCCACTACCCCTCCCGGTTGTCTTCAGCTCTTGTGAAGAAGCAATGCCATGTCTGTGGTTGGGAGGTCTGGAGTGGCTCCCCTGAGGTCACCCCAGAGACAAGAGTGTGGTTAAGCAGGTAGAGATTTCCTAGTTCTTCTGCTCAGGAACTATGCCTGATGAGGATCTCCTGAATCTGCTGCCAGAGATGGCATGGCAGGCTTTGGATAGTGCTCCTTAGACGTGGGGGAGGGTATATACTCCTTTACCTTCACCCAGGCCCTCAGGTAACCCAGAGGCGAGTGGACCCCAGAGTCCTGCCTTGGTGAGTGAGACCTGTGGGTGGGTAGGGCCATTCTAATTCCCTCTCGGTGCACAGTGCTTTTGTGTCGGGGCACGGGTGAGATGGTAAGTACCATTGCCATGATAGCCCAGAGAGTTCTGGTTACGTAGGTGATTTTCCCTCTAACCTGATTGCTTAACTAGTACCATACATAAGCCACAAGTCACTCGTGTGTATCTCCTTTGCCATTATATAGAGGCTTCAGATCTAGGGCTTCCATTGGGCAGGACTAGTTAATGTTTAATTAGTTTCTCAAATACACCACAGTGATTACATGTACCTTTTTGTGAAAGTGTCTCCTGAAGAGCTTGTCTTCCCAGAGGGCATTTAGTAAGTGAAGCGTTGGTGGTACAGGGTGTCTGTCACCCAGTAACCCTATGGCCATGGAATGAGGGGTGATGGTGCCAGGCCAGAGTCCTGTAAGCGATTTTGCAAGCACTTCATGTCATTTAAGTGCTAACAGGACTCTGATTTTTGAAAGCACCCAAGAAGATAACAAAGTCCTTGTATGTAGCTTGTGTCCTGGGCCGTGTTAGCTGGCAAGCCAGGAAGGCTTCTCTTCCTGTGGGAAGACTTCACTGAAGTGCAAGACAGAAACCTACTTTATGTTACTGTAATTTTGTGAGACCATGATGTACTGCTGACCACCATGCTAGGTCTGCAGACGGTTTCCTTAGGAGCGCTTCTCTCCTTACCTGTGCTCCCAACCAATCAACCCCCTGGTGTCCTGTATTGCTGTAAATGCATCCAGGCTGCTGTCTTCTTCCTCCTCCTCCTAACAGGACAGTTCCGTGACTCAGTAGTCTCTAGCCAGGTGGAAAGAACACCCCCTTGTGGGGTCACAGTAGCCTGCCCTGTTACTGTGTCATCTGGAGCCATGCTTTGAATTTGGATGTCAGTGCAGCCCGGCTTCTGAGATTGAAGGATGGGTTTCTTTTTTTTTCTTTTTTTTTTTTGTTTTTTTTTTGTTGTTTTGTTTTGTTTGTTTATTTGTTCTTCTCCACTGCTGTGTTGTTGTTGATAGTTATTCCTCTTCAGTGAGGCGGCTTCTCCATTTTCCATCCAGGTGGTTAGAGTGATATGGTCTGCATTTAAATCCATGAGATGGATTTGTTGGCTTTAGTTTTGGGTTGTGTGTCTTACACAGGCTAGGCAAGTGTTGTACCACTGAGCTACACAGTCCATATTCGATACACATTTACACTCTCATCTTCTTTCTGTGCCCTGAGCAACTGTGGTTTCTGTGTTGGATGAGAGAATAACCTCCCCTGGGAATGAGAGTTAGGTTATATGGGGAAGATGCTCTAAGCTCGCCTTAGCCCTGCTGACCCATCCCTCTCCCCTCTACCTTCTGTGTCAGCCCACAATGTGGGTCCGGTTGCATGAATCCTCCCCTATGCCATGGCTACCTCTTTCTTTCCTTCTGTTCAGTTCTTGGTCACCTTCCTAAAGGGTTGGTCCCTCAATTTGCTTTGTCTCCTAGTACTCAGCCACGACCCCAATGCCCAATAATGTTCATAGCTGTATACTAGCTACTTACTGCTCTAACCCTGGAGCCTGGTGGGAGCCCCTGGTTGGGGAGGGGTTCCTCCTTTATGTCCTCCTTAACCATTTCCTCTACCCCATCACTGCCCAGGAGGCTGTGAGCTTGACCTGGCCTGCTTTTTCCGGCTGATTAATGAGATGGGCGGCATGCAGCAAGTGACTGACCTCAAAAAATGGAACAAACTAGCAGACATGCTGCGCATTCCTAAAACTGCCCAGGATCGGCTGGCCAAGCTGCAGGAGGCCTACTGCCAGTACCTGCTCTCCTATGACTCCTTGTCCCCTGAGGAGCACCGACGGCTGGAGAAGGAGGTGCTGATGGAGAAGGAGATCCTAGAGAAGCGTAAAGGGCCGTTAGAGGGGCACACAGAAAATGACCATCACAAGTTCCACTCCCTGCCTCGCTTTGAGCCCAAAAATGGGCTCATCCATGGTGTTACACCCAGGAATGGCTTCCGTAGCAAGCTCAAGGAGGTGGGCCAGGCCCCACTCAAGACAGGCCGGCGGCGATTGTTCGCTCAGGAAAAAGAAGTGGTCAAAGAGGAGGAAGAGGACAAAGGTGTCCTCAATGACTTCCACAAGTGCATCTATAAGGTAAGAGGCTCTGTGGGTTGCCCATAACATGCAGGCTGGTTAGGAATAGTGTGTACCTTGCCCTAGTGGAGCCAGAGGAGGCTGACTGTTCTGCTGGGGTGAGTGCTAGGACACTGTCTTAGTCTGTTTTAAGTTGCTGTGACTGAATATCACAGAGAAGCAAAAAATAAAGGGAACTTTTTGCAATTGGTTCTGAAGGATGGGCTATTTTTTATAAGGTGATTCGGCAAGTTTCATCATAGTATTTGACAACCTTGTGGAAGCACACAGAGACAGTACCTTTCATGTTCCCATGGTACTGTCCCAGTGGTGATTTTACCATGTACTTTAGAGAGACATATACTCAGATTCTTGGGATAGCTGATGCCACCAACAGAATTTTGCCTGGTATACCAATAATAGACAGTTGGACCTGCCTAGGGAGGTTGAGCAGTTAAGTAGCCAATGATTCAGGTTTGAAGCTTGGCATCATAGGATATGGGTGAGTTGTTTGCCTCCCCGGACTTTGCTGGTTCCCCTTAAATGCTGTGTGTTGTTTTACTTATGTTTGTGTATCTTCCGGGACACAGCAAATGAGGTACATCTGTTGGTTCTGTGCCTCTGGGTCTGGCCTTTCCTCTAAGCACTGCTTTTCTCAGAGCTGCTCAGGGTGGGTTGTGAGCTCTGAGAATGCTTTCTCTCCCTCCTTACTCTGTGTTCCAAAAGACCGCTGACTTCCAGTTCCAGCCCAGTGCTGTTAGGTCTTGGGGTAGAGAGCTGGAACCAAAAAATTAGAACACAAATCTCTCCATTAACAGCACAGAAGGGGTGAGAGAGAGACTGGACAGTGGAGTGACTTCTGATGTCCCAGCATGAATCCCTGCTGAAGAACAGTTTCTTGGCTGCTGCTCCTCAAAACTTGGGGCTCCCCTCTCTTGGCCTGCTTGAAGGGAAGTGGGGAGAGTGAAAGGCATTCCAGGGCCACTGTGTAGACACTAAAATGTGAACAAGTTGAAACCTCTGACAGACTTCCCTATGGTCTCTGTCTGGAATCCCTAAAGGGAAGAACTGTTGGCACAGGTCTTGATTTGGCTTTCTCCTGGTGCATGCGCCTCCTAGAGTGCTGAGTTAGATGGTTTCTGCTGCACTGACTAGGTCAGTCACCGTCTTCACTAGCTGTCTGCCAAGTTCCTGTGGCCATGTCATTTCAGGCTCCAGCCTGGCCCGCTGGCTAGGCTACCATACACCCTAGGGCCTCGTGGACGAGTTTGGCTTGCCCTGGGTCCTACTTCATCCCATTTGGAGGCCTGACTGACAAGCAGACCTCAGCTGCTGCCAGGCTTCCAGCTTAGAGCTGTTCTGGGCTCTAGGCATTTCTATAGGTTTGTCTCTTAGTAGACTCGGAAAGGGTTTGGTTTTCATCTGGTTCTTCCAACTCTGAGCTGCTACTGAGAACATCTCCCTACAGCCCACTCAGCTGTGCTTTTGTGAAAATGGAGAACTAACCTGGGGACTGAATGCTGCTTTGTTTGGTGTGTATCTTAAACGACTGGAAAGCTGTCCTCCTTCATTAATTAAAGCACTCATTAAATCCTGTGACTCCAAACCAGCACCTTCTGAAATGAGGTGTTCTCCCTTCAGGACTGTGAGAGTGTGTCAGACCCAAGGAGGTTTTTCTTGTTTTTATAAATCTGCTTCGTCAAAGATTTTTTTAGATAGAATTGGAAAATCCTGATGTTCTTGACCAAAGGTGGATACCGCTTCTCACCACTGTGGCACTGATGGCAGCACCAGCGTGTCCATCACCCCTGCTTAGTGTGCCTGCCATAGGTAGTGGGAATCAGGGTTTCCATGTACCTAGTTTATAGGAAGAGAAAGTTGGGAAAGATTTCAAGTTTCCAGGAAAGTCACTTTCTCAGCCTGAGAACTTCATCCAGAGCCCTGTCTTGCTGGAGAACAAGCCCAAATTCTATGGTCTCCATGTTTACTGCTAGTTAGTGCCCTGGAGGCAGAGTATGCTGGGATCACACACTTAAGGGGGTGCTGTCACGTACCGAGAACGCAGTGTGGCCTGTCCCCACAGGCAAGCCACTGGTCCGAGACCTGTGACAGATTTATGACTTGATATAAAGCCAAGGCTTACCTCTGTCTTAAGCTGTGCTCTTTGATGTTTTCTTTGTTTCAGGGAAGATCTGTTTCTCTAACAACTTTTTATCGAACAGCAAGAAACATCATGAACATGTGTTTCAGCAAGGAGCCTGCACCAGCAGAGATCGAGGTAGGTTGGTCAGCTCCATACAACCTCCTGGGACACTAGGAGGGGCCCTCAGGCTTGGTGTAGCATGAAAGGGCACACGGACTGGGGTTGTCCTGTGTGTCTGAACTGGAACATCCAGGCATTTTCTCTTGGGCCAAAATTAGTCGACTGAAGACTGGAATCCATGGCCCCTGTTGGAGGGCTCTGAGGGCGTGTCTGGGTTCCCATCACTGCTCTAGCTAGCAGTTTTCATTCCCAGTAAACTGCCTCTTCCTATCCTCCCTGTGTGTTCTGGAGGAGAATGTTTGGAATTCCCTGAAGTCATGGTATGCTTTTCTCCTCTCCGTTCTTCATGTAATGGGATTGGCAGGTCGCCACTTTTGTGCCTTTGCCAGCTCTCTCCTTGGAGTTAGTGCAATGCTGGAAAGACAGTGAGCTCTTGTGTGCCCAATTAGTGGCTGGTAAGTGTGAGGTGCTAGAGGATGGAGCCAGTCCTGTTTGTTTACAGTCCCTGGCCAGAGCCCAAGAGAGACATAGGAACCCAGCAGTGGTTGGTTTTAGAGGGAGAGAAGCCAGTTCAGATTCCGGGCTCAGAGCAGTTGTAGCTGGGAAGAGGAGTGTGTTGAAGGTGCAGTTTTTCCTATGGGCTCAGGGAAGAAAGTCTCAGAGCTTTGGAAGGCAATTCTGTTTTGCTGATCACACTCTTCCCATCCCAGCCCTGTGACCTGGGGCTTGACATCCACTCTCAACTTCATGTTCAGCTCTGCCTAGGGTGGCCGTTACCTCGGACTGGTCTGACACCCACGTGATCGTCACAGGGCTCAGCTTTGCCATCTGCAGGAGGTGTTGATGCTTATTACGGTCCATAGCTCACTTGACAGGCTTCTATTCAGGAAATGGTGTTCTCTCTCTCTCTCTCTCTCTCTCTCTCTCTCTCTCTCTCTCTCTCT